TTAAGGTAACCAACACGGAGGAGAGGTAATCCAGACCATCGTTTATCATAGTTGGATGAGTCGCTCCGATAGCATAACATGAGACGATTGATGCGACCCTTTGGAAAGAATATTTGGGCAGAGTATCTCGTGGAGGCACAGCAGCTCCATTTCAGCGTAGCACCTGCAGAGGCTCCATTGGCAATCGACCAGAGTCTGTCTTCCGAACGAGTTGAGGCTATGTCGGCAGCAGAAAGGCACGCCATGTGTGAGGCTGAGAAAATAAAAGGCAATGAGAGCTTCGCCTCGGGAGACTTGGATGAAGCAGAGGTGAGTTATGTGGACTGGCTGGACGGCATTCGATCCCGTTGTCATCCAGTTGCATTATACGAGGGCCCTCCGTCTCCGCTCGGATGTATCAGTACTATGGTCCAATAGAGCCTTGGTGCGGCTAAAGCTTCGCCGCCCTCGAGAAGGGCTAGAGGATGCTCAGAGACCCATCGCGTTGGATCCTAAGGATGTGAAGGTGTGGCTAGGACACGGTTCGCGTCGCGTGTGATACGGTGCCTGAGTTCCCTCGGACTTAGGCCTTTCATCGACGTGGTAAAGCTCGCGCGGAGTTGGCTTACCTCGAGGAAGCAGTGAAAGACTTTCAGACAGCTCTCAAGTGAGCCAATGATGAAACGCTTGCTGTCCTCGGTAGACGGGAACGAGCTTGGGGTCATTGTGGGCTCAGGATACTCAACGATAGTGCCACTATCATAGTGGCGCAGAGCAGGGAATGATTGGCAGAATCAATGCTGACCTTGCTACTGCCAGACGAAAGCTAATTTACAAGCAACGCGCGCAAGTCAAAGAAGAGATCGAGGAGCCAAAAATACAGGAGATTTTCGACGAATCACCAGTTGTGTAAGGAACGGGTTTCTCCGGCCGACATTGTATTGTTCTGATGGTGATACTCCGAATCGGAATTTCCAATGCACAGTCAATGTTAGGTCTCTGCGAAAATTGATGATTTGGCGGCCAAATCATTTGGATCTCAGACGACTAGTGTTGTTCCTCCTCAGGCCACATAATCACCAGGTCGAGAAAAAGTCTAGCGAATTCAGGCATATTTCTATAATCGACGAGGATTCGGATACTGAAGACGAGAAGGAAGGAAAGGTGCCGTTTCTTGCGTTGCGGACTACATACCGTTTCGCGTGGATCAAATGAGTCTGACCCATTACCGGATGGCCGCCCGGACAACCAATTTGGGGTTATCCAGCGGAGAAAGGCTTGAATCGAGCCGCTCAACGCTCTATCGAGGAACGTGCGCAATTGTTAGGCAATCAAGAACAGTGCCACTCC